CCCCCCAAAGCTGTGGGGCCCAGGGGTGTCTTCTCAAGCCCAGCAGTCCTGGGAAGAGGCCCCCCCAAAGCTGTGGGGCCCAGGGGTGTCTTCCCAAGCCCAGCAGTCCTGGGAGGAGGCCGCCCCCCCGAAGCTGCAGGGCCAGGGATGTCTTCCCGAGGCCTATAAACAGCACCTGGCCAGCACCCTGAGGTCTTCTCCGGGAGCCCGAAAATAGCCCGCCTGTTACTATCTGCGTCCAGGGAGCCGCCGGCCAGCAGGCCACGCAGCCCTCTGGCAGAGGTCAGTGGAACAAAGTTTCCAGCCGCCCTCGCCCCAGGGAAGGCAGGACACGCTGCCAAGAGCCGGACAGAGCCAAGGCGGCGGCCTGGCGCGGCCAGGCCTGCCCACCAGAGCCATCCCTGGAGCGGGGCGCCTCCAGGCCAGCACACACCCCAGGGCGGCACATCACGGAGCCCCCAGGGACGGCCCGAGGGCGGAGGGTGCAGGGCCAGGGGCTTGCCTGGCCTCTGAAGGCCAGAACCGAGTCCCCCGGCCCCCAGGCTGGCAGGGACCCACCCACACAGCAGGACCCCACTCCGAACCAGGCCTGAGGGCCCAGCGGCCAAGGCCCAGATGGCCAGGGGACACCGGCCACGGGTAAGCACATGGAGAGGGCTGAAGGACTCCGTGCGGGCAGCAAGTCAGACCCAAGAAAACAAGCACTGGACCTTCCACAGCAGGAGACCTGCCGGCGTGAGAGCCTAACCCAGGAGGCCCGCGGGGGTGGGGGTGCCGCAGAGCCCCCCGCGAGGCCCCAGGCCTCCTGCATACTCGGGATGAAACTTGGGGAGCAGAGGCCTTGCTCTGCAGGCCCGGCACCTCCTCGCGGCCCCCTGGCCAGCAGCACTTGGCCCGCCAAGGCACCCAGGGCCAGGGGAGCACTGGAATCGGGGGACGGAACAAGGACAGGGCTGCAAGGAGCCCGACTTGGGGCCCCGTGGCCCACCGGACTCGCCCCACCTAAGCCTGCTGGAGGGGAACCCGCCTTTCCATCGCCCGGACGGGGTGCACGTAAAGAGCAGCCCCCCACGGGCACCAGAGGCCGCGGCTGGCTGCAGCTGTGGGGCGCACCGCCCCCGGTGCCGCTGCACACACCCCACCCACGGGGCTTGGCACATATCTGACAAGGAGACCGGGGAGGCGGAGCCCTGGGCTGTCGGGGTGGATGAGGGTCCCGCGGGCCCTCGTCGGTGACCACAGCCTCCTGCGGCCAGGCAGCGCCCCTGGGGACAGAACCCCCAAGGACGGGGCAGAGCGAAGTCCCCCCCACGCGGCAGTGCTCGCAGCGGCCAGCAGGGGGCGGCCCGCGGCGCTCGGGACAGGCGCTGAGTGGACAGGCCCCAAGGTAACCGCCACCCTGCAGCCACGCCCCCGAGTGGACAGGCCCCAAGGTAACCGCCACCCTGCAGCCACGCCCCACGGGGAGCACGCAGGAGCCCGCCTTCCCCAGCCGCGGCCCCACCCCCACACCCCGCAGGTGCCACCTCCCGCGCCACCCCTGGCGTCAGGAAGGCGCAAGCTGGCAGCCTCCGTCCACAGCCAGCGCGTCCACTACGGTCAGCACTGAGGAGGGGCAGGTGCTGCAGGGGAAGCGCCAGGCACGACCCTGCCCTCCTGTCCACGCAGACACACAAAGCACGCTCGCCGCAGCTTCCCGGCGGCCCCTTCCGCGCACCGGGAGGACCGGCGGGGCAGTCGCTCACCTCTCTAAGGGCGGGTCAGTGGCTCCGCTTCAAGGGGACAAGGGGCTGCAAGAGAGGCTTGCAGGCCATCTGGCCGCGCAGGCGGACAGTGGGGCAGGGTGCGCTCCTGCCCGGGGGCACTTGAGGGTGGAGGCCGGCAGGGTGATGACCCTGCAGCCGCCAGCCAGCCGCCGCCTTGGCCGCCAGCCCACCGGGGCAACGTACGGCCCTCCGGGGCAGCCGTGGGCGAGCCGCCCGCCTCCGGGCGCCCCACGCCGATGGAGGCTTGCCCTCCCCAGCCGGCCTGGAGACCCCACACTTCTGGAAATAGCGGGGTCGCGGGCCGTCTCCCGCCTCCACTGAAACCACCGCTCCAAGCCAAGACTACAATCGGGGAGCACGACGTCCTGCTCGCTGGGCAGGGGGCACTCGGGGGGCAACAGCTGCGCGCGGCGGTGGCGGGCGCCGCCGATGGCCGCAGGTGCGCTGTCCGCCTAGTGACCAGTAACTCAACAAGAAGGACCACTTCGGAGGCGGGGGG